TTGAAATATTGCGTCGACCATATTTCAGAATTGCTAGGGTAGGCCCAAGCTATAACTATGCCCGGACCACTCTGTGTCCGTCAGATCTCTCGATCAGTAAATTCAACTGAGTTGTTTCTTTCTAAGGTCATTGTTGCATAGTCTATACAGTGAACTTACCATCGTTGTGTACGTGAACAGGTCTGCACAATTTGATAATTAGCTTTTAACGAAATTATGGTAAGTCTAGCTCAGTTTAAATGCAGTGGAAAAAATTTTGAGCTATGGGGATTAGTTGTTCTTTACCTTTTTTTGAAATCTCACGGTGACAGCAACATTATGGATTTGACTTGAAGTTTTTCGTATTACTAGCTCGAATAGTGGATTGGAATTCGAATAGTCGGATTTCTTCAATTTACCTGAACAAACTTTCGAATCATTCGGGAATCAGAAGTTTTGAATTTTGGAATGTTCAACTTTGAATGTTTACGAATATATATTAATGATTCGGTTTGGACCAATGTGTAGTATGCACACCAATGGCTGCAGCTCTTTCACGATATCGAAAGGAATGCTCGAAAACTTTTTTTTGCATGAATCTATTATTAACAAAATCAGTGGTTTTTTTTTTTGATTTGTGATGTAGTCATCATACCAGCAAACCTCAGATGTGCTGTTTAACATTACGCATCTCAATTCGTTGCTTCACTTTATCGTCTTTCCGCTATCACCTGGTGGTACGACATGTAAGTTGAATCATGTGTCCCATTACGGGTTCGAATGCAGTGAAGGTGCTGATAAAAATGAGTGATATCGTAAAAATTAAATAGGATAAGAAAAGTAATTGGCTGTGAAGGATTTTTCCCGATAAATTGGATATTTTGGGAGAATGATTTAGTTAGACTCATTTGTGCACACAATGAATGACGCATTACTTCTTGTAAATTATCTAGGTGCAATGAAGAAGTCTAACTCGGATCCTCCGACTTCTTTTTTGCTAATAGACTACTACACAATGGGGAGGTCACGTCTGTTAGAGCCTTTCATTTTTGAGTTTTTTACTACGAAGAACAGGTACGTAATGGTACGTCTCAAAAAGTCATTGTTTGCAGCTATTGAAAATGGCTGGTTTGAAAATGGCGGATATTGATCAATGGGAAGTGAACGAGGCATTTTCCGTGGTTGCTTTGGCTTTTATAAAGCAAGTTGGATGCGACGCTGGAAAGGTTAATCCCCATGGCGGAGCTGTATCGCTAGGACATCCTATCGGGTTTGTTTCATCACATTTCGTCACAATCCGGACTTATTTAAATGTGTATCTTTCTTCCTTCTAGAATGTCGGGCGCTCGCCTTATCAC